CAGCTAACTCAAGATAAACTCACACACCACAATATTTGAAGAGTTATTTACAAAAATGTCACATAAATAAATTTTAATCTAAAAAATGTCACATGACTAAACTCCTCACTAAAAAATGTCACTTACATACTATTATCCCGAAAATACCTTCTAAGTGTATACTGAAAAATGTTGTTTTTGTCATGTACATCAGACACGTACATAAATAAATATTACGTACACTCAACTAAATTCACATGTAAACGAAACTATATACACATGCTTTACCAATCATGTACATTCGATAAACCACATGTACACAAAACTCTCGTAAAACTGCAATTGCAAGTACACGGATACTAGACGATATGCACGTACACTTTACCATGTACACTCAATAAAACTATGTACACGCACACATATACATATGTGTTACCAGTATACATTCAGTGAAACTATATGTACACTACATATATAATGATGTTAATGACTCTTGGTGTACGCATATTTTGGCTACATCATAATTAATTTGTGAAGTGTACATCATCAACGCATTAAGGAGTCATTCTGTGTACGGCAAAACGGCAAAATATACAATAGTTTTCATGAACGTTAATATGTACATGTATCGTTTGTGTACGTAAGACAATCACCTATGACATATCCATGTATGTGTCTCATTCTCTCTCTGGCATTAAATGACATGTCAAGCATTAAATGCTCTGCACACTCCCACATCCATACACGATAGATATTTTGGTCATAATGTCGTGTAAGTGACATTTTTGTAATTAGAAACACATATGTGACATTTCATGTAATTATAAACTGGGAATGTGATATTTTCGGACATTTTCCCATAATTGAATGAGGCTTGGAGAAATGAATCTATACGAGGACAAGGTAGATATAAAGTAACTTGATACATATGAAGAAAGACTTGATAGATATGGTTTACATAGGAAGAATTGACCAACTCTAGGCTCGAGAGACAAAAGGTCATTCGACAAAGATGGTTACGGCTTACGAGACTAGGAGTAGTTGAGGAACCAAAGCCAATGAGTTATCAGTTTTCTGGTGAGTGCGTCTCTAGATCAAGAAGAAAGGTCGCCGTCTCATCACCTTTTTGAGAGAACCCTCTCTAACTTCTTCTATTTTTATTTTTTTTTTGGGAAAACAAATTTGACATGAGAATCAGATTCAAACTGCGATAAATCTGACATAATCATCATTTATGTTATAAAACTATGATTTAAAAATAAGATTTTTATGTATTTATAACATATATATATATATGCTATAAAGTTTTGTATAAAAGTAATATAATTTTGGGAAAATTGGCTTGTATACTCTAAATCTTATTGGAAATTTGAAATCTATACCAAATTTGTTACACTTTGAAAAGTACAGTATTTTAAGAGTTGAAATGACGATTCTATCCTTACTTAACAATATTATGTTAGAAAACAAAAATGATTTGATTTTCTTAACTTTTATTTAAAATTTGATTTATAATATTTAAAACTAATATATCATCAATCTATAATATAACGAATAAACACAAGTTAATTATTTATAAAGTTCAAGTTAATTATAGTAAATATGCAAACGCAAAGGCATATCACATATTCAAATCTCACGTGATATGCTATATATCCAACAAACATATGCCACTATTAAAAAAATGAGCAAAATTAAACAAGTCATCCGAGTAAAACTTAGCATCATCATCATCTACTTGAGACATCTTTCGGTAATTTTTTTTGTTTTGGTTAAAAGTATTAAAGTCGTAAAGATGACATAAGTCGGCGGCGCAGAAGGAAGGAAGAAGATGACAAACCCTAGGGTTTCAATTGATGTTGTAAAGATTTGGGACAATTACAAGAATGCCATTTAGGGGTGTTTATTTACAAAATTGCCACTAATTATAGATTTATAAAGCTTATATCTTAAAATTCTAAACCCTAAAAAATATTTTGACACCTAAAACCCCCTAAACACTCAAAACTAAGCCCTAATAAAACATAATTAACCTAAACATAAATAATATAAAGAAAAAATAATTTTGAAAAAGTGGCATTTTTGTAAAGATTTCAAAAGTATGGCATTTTTGTAAAGTGGCACTTGAAAAGTGGTATTTTTTGAAATTTTTCTAAAGATTTTAGATAATAATTAATTTAAATTACAATATATTAATTTAAATAAAATTACCAATTGATATTTTTTATGAAATAAAATTAGGAATTGATTTTAATTAATTATACAATTTACAATTTAATTATTTTATATAAAACTATGTCAAGTCGATGAACATAAAAATTAAGTCAATGGTTTAAATAAGTCGACAAAGTAAAAAGTCAATCAACCAAAATATAAATTGATAGTTTAAAATAAATCGATGAAAAAAGTATTTAAGTCGACGAATTACAAAAAATAAGTCAGTGGTTTAAATAAATCTATAATTTAAAATGTCAATCAAACGAAATATAAGTCAACAGTTTAAAATAATTCAACGAAACTAAAAATTAAGTCGACAAAAATGAAAATTAAGTCAATGGTTAAATAAGTCGGCAAANTAAAAAATCAAGCAAACNATAATATATGTCAACNNTTTAAAATAAGTCGATGAANCTGAATATTAAGTCGACAAAATAAAAAAATAAGTCAATGGTTAAACAAGTCGACAAAGTAAAAAATCAGTCAATCGAAATATAAGTCAACAGTTTAACATAACTCGACGAAATGGAATATTAAGTCGACAAAC